TCTAGCAGTCCGTGCCAGACGTTATACCAACTAAGCAACGGAACAAACCACCGGACCTCACGTATCTTTTTATGTGTTTGTTGTAGTGTTTGTATTTGGTTTTTTCAAGGACTTTTTAGCCGTAACACCATCTATGAGAAATCTTAAGTGTTTCGTCACCCAGTTAGATACGTTTACAGCTACCAGCCCTGGCTAGATATGTCGCTATTTATTGTTTTGCTTTTGTTTTGCTTAGTTGGTAGAGCGTCTGACACGGTATGCTAGAAGACGTCGGTTTGAATCTGGCCGGATCAAAGGAATTTTTTCTGAGTGTTCGTCGATCTTTGTATTAATAATTATAACAAAGTAGTAGAGTAATTTCACATAAAAAATAATTGAATGTCAATCTAAAAATAATTGAAATAAATATAAATAAGAACTTTGTGGCTTAAAGCTCTGAGTCGCACTGCAACTGTTAAAAAGCTACATACGACCTTTTACTGACACCAGTAATCTTTATTTATTTATTTTCAAAAGGCATACCAACAGCATGTGTATTATTAATACATTTAAAGAACTTACAACTAAGAACAAAATCCGATACACAAGCCAATTACGTCGTGAAAAAAAAAAAGTGTACACGACATTCAATAATAACAATTATAGGCCGAGTAAACTAATACATGAATAGATTTTAAGACTTTCGTGGTTATTCACTAAATGATTATCACTAATTTCCAGGTTTCTTACCACGGTATTCTTTTTATTTTCCCGATATTTCGGAACGGTTGCACGCTCCATGGTCATGTCAGATGACAGCTTTAAGAGCAAACATATCTGTCTACCCTCTTGCGCTGTCGACGACTACCTTCATCGCGATTTGTTGTGGCGTTACCATTGTCACTCACTTTTTTCACACAAACAACACTCACTGTATCCACACGCGAAACTGTACTCGAGGTGTTTTTGTTTTTATTACTGCATGCACTAAGGATCGGATTCCATGCACTGGACAATTTAAAACCATCATCACAATATTTAACCGTAGTTCAGTTTCGCGTGTGGATACAGTGAGTGTGGTTTGTGTAAAAAAAGTGCGTGACAATGGTAACGCCTCAACAAATCGCGATGAAGGTAGTCGTCGACAGCGCAAGAGGGTAGACAGATATGTATGTCTGCTCTTAAAGCTGTCGTCTGACATGACCATGGAGCGTGCCACCACCGATCCGAAATATCGGGAAAATAAAAAGAAGTCATACCGTGGTAAGAAACCTGAAATTAGTGATAATCATTTAATACATGAATATTAATAGTAGAAACAATCAAAATAAATCAATAAATTAAAAATTAAACAAAATTAAATAAAAAGAATTAACAAAATAGACAATCACACAATTAATTAATTGGGTACCCTCGCAAACATGTGTTTTAAAATGGTGGATTTGTACTTTGCAAGGAAATCAAAAAATATATCGAGTATCAGGTAAAGTAGCACTGAGTTCGTTATAAGTGCAGCAGAGACGAGACACAGGGGCATGTATAACGACATTGGTTCTACAAACCGGTCGATGAAACAACCGAGTGACGGGCTTCTGGGGTAAGTTATACGGAACTTATAGTGAAATACGAGGAAGCAATTCTTAACTCTTTAAGGTTCCATTAACACAATTGTGCAAAAATAGTACATCATGCAGTCTACGGGAACGCGCAATGAGCTCATTTTAATAAAACCCAAACGCTGTTCATACGGGCACCTATGTGAAATTTTCCGCGAAAGAAGGCGAGATGTCTTGTGAAAGCCCGTTGTACAGACTCCAAGTGCTGAGAGTGCACCATATACCCGGGGTTCCAAACCACAGAAGCATATTCGAGTTGACTACGAACTAGGTTATTAAATAAAATTATTTTAGTTTTGCTACAAAATGATCGCGAATTTCTTTTAACAAAACCTAACATTTGAGCTGCCTTCTTAGTAACGTAGTTGATATGTGATATAAATTTCAGTTTACTGTCTAGGAGGATTAATCTTGCTGCTCCTAGTTAATTTTTATTAGCAGTAGAGCTCCTTGTGATAGAGCTCGTTCAGATACTGCCGTTTCTACCGCCAAGCAGTAAAGTGCGCATTATTGCGTTTCGGTTTTGAAGGGTAATAGGATGGGACTTGTCAAGGTATGACTTAGGGTGACCGGCGCAGTGGCAATGCCCCCGTATTTGCAATATAAAGCTCTGAGTGGCACTGAAACTGTTATGGACATATGCTTATCACCAGGCGCACGACTTGTTCGTCCCGTCACTTTATATCATAATCTCAATCGGCGCAATCTGCAGGCGCCTGTACTTCGGAATAATCCGGAGTATGGCCCTCTAAGGAGTCAGGTCAAATTGACTCCTTTTAGTGGAAAAATGAAAATAGGCAGAAAAATCAGAAAGAAAACTTGTACCTTGTCTCACATAATCATCACCAAGCTTCACTTGTGATAATTAACTGCAAAAGCAAGTTCCTCACAAGCGTAATAATAATTTGCATTTGCATCTTACAGTTATACGTTCCAAGCAACATTTACACAAAGTATAACTTGTCTGTTAGACTCGACATGTCTGTTTGTGCTTAATTAATATGTCAGTAAGCTGCAGTCAGGCTAAAGCAGTGGTTTATTTACGGGCCAATACCTTGCAGACGCCTAAGGCTCTATTTACACTGTTTCGGAACGGAATGGAAACAAATTTTTAGCATTTCTTGCCATCACATGATGGCAATATTGTTGTTTCATTTGTTTAAAAAAAAAAATATGAATAAATAAAACAATAATAATAAAAAATGTAAAAAAAATATTAAGTATTAAGTAGTATTTTAGTATTTTCAGTACACACTCCTTTCACATACTCTCAAAAAAAAGTAGTAATAGAAAGTATTTTAATATTTTCAAGTCAACACTTCCCTCACACATGTGTTGGGAGTACACACTCACTGTACACATTCACCAACACTATACATAATGTCAAAGACAAAATGTAGGCCAATAGCATCGCGCCTTTGATACACTACAAACGTGGAATTGAAAAAAAACTAGATAAGGAAGAAGAGCTACCTGTTTTTTGGCGATATTTTCTAGAATCGAGATTTTCTAATCATAATTATAATTCGTTTATATGCTTAAAACATGGTATAACATAATCTCACTATAGATTACTAAAAAAACCGACCTCAAAAATCATTCACCCCCTAGTTTGCGACTCTAGGATGTGGAATATTTTAGGAGGTAACCTCTTTCCAACAAAAAAAGAATCATCAAAATCGGTTCTATGCCGGAGACATACATACAAAAAAAAATACATTAGATCTGAGAACTTCCTCCTTATTTTGAAGACGGTTAAAAAGATAGTGTCAGTACAAACATATTTCGCATATATTAAATAGCATACAAATGTGTTGTACACACGCTAGCACATCAAGCTACACATTGACGTATCTTGTTCCGTTGCAATGGAGGCGATTTTCGAGCAAAAATGTGTAGTCTGATGTGTCGTTGTCCGTACGATATCAATTGACTACCACAACATTAAGCATATCACAAGTTACAAATTAAATTTGCCAATAATTGTAAAATCCTTGAATTTGAAAGAAAATATTGGACAGGATATCTTTATCTTGATAAAGTTTTATATCTTATTTCCTGTCAAATATTTCGTTTGTCATAAAAAATATTTTTATACAACTACTTGTACAGGTTCGTCTTAAATAAACTTAAGCGTATAAAATTATAGAATAAAAGTATGTATAATAATATAATAGAATAAAAGTAGTCTAGAAAAATCTCGATATCCATTTCTCAACCAAGACAAACAATTAAATTACACGACCAAATAACATATGCTATGGTTTCAAAAAATCGCACCCACTTCGTTCGGCGGCAATGTAAATTGAACTTTAATGTTTCGTGGAAATATTACTTGTTGTATCTACATAATTTAATTGTTTGTCTTGGTGGGAGAAAGGGATATCAAGATTTCCTAGAATAACAACCTATCTCAAATGCACCTATGTAATTAATTAGGAAGATGACTTCAAAAAAGGAAGGCGTATCTGGTGCGCATAGCCAACGTACGGTTTACCGGCACCATAGAACAATGAAGACGCACGTGCGCGGACACGCGTGCCAACAGTGCGTGGAGTTCCGCATACTTGAGATCAGTCCATTATTTTTTCGCTTGTAAAACCTCGCAAATCGTAGAAAAATGTTTTATTTTGGTACTTTGAAGTATAAAAATTATTACCGCACCTATAATATTATGCATGGAGGTATTCCATAATCATCGTTAAATCTTATTTTATTTAATTTGAATAATTTCACCATTTTCTGTTTATCGTATTTTTTATTATATAATATGACCTTCTACTTCTTTTTTGGAGAATTAAGTAAACATCTCGAATTTTTCTCTCTACTCATAAACGTTAATCGTTCGTCGTCGTTCAACTATTGACCACTAGATGGCAGCACATTGACTACAATTTAAATACTATAACTTGCAATAAGTAGTTATTAAACTTTCAACCAACTGGGTAAAGTTTAAATTGAGGTCAAATATTAAGTCTTTTTTTTTTTATACCAAATGACACGTCTGTTGTAAGCGACACACCTGTCCATGACAATTGGCAAATGCAGTGCTACTCAAAGATTGAAATCCCAAATATCTGAAGAGCACTGCTACTGCGCCCGTCACCCTGAGACACAAGTTGACAAGTTCCATGTGCCTGTAGTTTCACCAGCACCCTTACCCTTCAAAACCGGAACGCAGTAATGCACTGCTTAGAGGCAAAAATAGGTAAGGTGGCAGTACTTGCCTGGACGAACTCTTTCACAAGGCTACTGATATTAATAAATCTACGGGGAAAATATTCAGTAGTAAACTTACGCGGGAGCGCAAATTGTGACAAAAGAAAAAAGAAACAAGAAATACTGCACTTCAGTAAGTTACCTACATTCTACTTATATAGTGACGTTAATAATTCATTGTTACAGGGGTGTGCTTGATCGAACATGCAAGCGGTAGAACAGTGGAGAAAATCACCAACCACAACAATTCCTACACTAGCTACGGACTTTTCCAGGTAATATTGAAATACGCTGATGCTAAGAACGTTTTACGTCTCGATATGTGTGGTATTACAAAATAAAAGAAATTAATTACTACATAGTAAAGAAGTGACATAATGTTAGTAAAGAAGTGACATTATGTTTTTTATCGAAGTACTGAAACGAACCAATACATAAGCGAGGTGGTTAGACACCCGTACTTTAGCGATCGTTTTTAGTACTCCGATGGTTTATATTGGCTTTTAGTGTCGAGGTGAAAACTTTACTTTTCACTTAGATTGCGAGAAAAAAAAATTCTATCATTTTCGCTCTTCAATAAGATTATGAACCAAAATTCTGAAGTTTTCGCGGTATTTTTTTTTCATCCAGACACAGATACCAGCAACGCACCAACGCGGGAAAATCATATGACGCCACCGTTTATGCCCAAATGTACTTTTTACTCCTTAGGGATTAACGGATGCACTTTACTACCGCTACGTAAGGCTTTTAGCTTCGTACTTTTAGAGCATGAGAAGTGAAAAGTCATTTTTATTTCTTGTAATACACAGATTATAAAGGCGTTACAAGAATACGTTTAGAATTACTGTGACTCGCCTTGCGACATACGAAGTTCTCATTATTTTTATGTAATTTTTGCATGCAACGACCTATAAACTCTAATCATGCAGTCCACAACAATCTAATTATAATCAAACCTAATAAAAATTATAGCAATAGTAAGTAGTAGATTAGTCTCGTTTTAAAAAATGAGAACCCTTGACATGAAATGTAAATTTTATAAGAATTATATTAATGTGGCAAACGTGGGACATCATCATCATAATCATTCAGCCATACGACGCCCACTGCTGGGCATAGACCTCCTCCAACGATCTCCACGCGTTCTTTACCAGATCTCCTGAAAAATCAAGAACGTAATCCAATTTTATATCATTTCGTAAGAAGCACTATCGAAGACATTTTGTAATGGAATTCAAAAAAGAAATGCCTCTCAGTCATGATTGTGTGGCGCAATAGAGCCCTTGCCTTTTCCACATTGGGAAAAACAGTACCAAAAAAACATTTTTGAGCATTTCATAATACAATACGATCTGCTGTTAGTGTTGATGACTTGTTTTCAATCCAATTTTCAAGAAGTTATGTTTTAAGTCTCTCATGTATTTTTTAATTATAAGCATTGGTGGTATCGCGTTTGCCTGTCGACAATCCAGATATATTAAGCCCTGTGTAATTAGCTCCGCAGAGGCTTGCTGCGTCTTGTACAAGGTGAACTTTCTTGTAAACTCATATTGGAAAATGTTCCTTAATTTGTTTGGTCACAACATTATTAAAAACGAAATATTTTCATAATAATTTCATAAAGCCACATGTTAGGTTACGTTTATATTTTATACATTTAGTATAATCTATATGGATATAAATGGATATTAAAATATTTCATTTTAATATCCATTTAAAATAAAACAAATAATTAAAAGTTACCAACTTGACTAATCGAGTCTCTACTCGCGACTCAACCCATTTATGCGTCTCACTGCTGGGCATAGGTCTCCTCTCATACGAGGGTTTAGACTCAATTTGTATTGCAGCCGAACTGAATGGAAGCAAATTTTTGTAACGATATTGTACATGGCAGAATGAACTTTACGGAATGCGCGAGCATTCTCGAGCATGCGCGAAAATTCCGCTTAAGATTTCGGCTCCTATCTAGTTTGTGCGTTACGCAACTGACCATAAAATTCATTATGCTATTTACAACATCGTTACAAAATTTCGCTTCCAATCCGTTCCGCCGTAATTTAAATTGAGCCTTAGAGCATAGTCTAGGACTTTACGTTTTCCGAGGGCTGTGAACCTTCTTCGAAAATGCAGGTTTCGTCACTGTTTCCCTTGACCGGAAAGCTCATAGTAATTAGTCTTCAAATTAAACTCCGCATAGAACTTTCGAGATACTCAGAAGTACTAGTCCGGATTCGAACCCACAACCTCTGCTTGTGAGGCGGCCGCTCAAACCATTAAGCTATTACGGCTTCTGCGCTTCATTTCGACTCATCCGTAGAATAAAGGACTATGTGCAAGACTACTTGTTCTCAGGACATTACAGTTCGTTCGTTTTTCTTCGCTGTGCGTGTCAGATCGAACGTTGTTCGATTTTATATTTCCGAAACGAAATAAGATATGTAATTCTCAAAATACCTTCACAGAGGCTTTAGTTGGAATAACGAAATAATTCTCGTAACGTACTTATTCTCTTTTCGCTATATAATCACATCGGACTCAGTTCTTCGGATGAGTTGATTTATAGGCAGTATACATCAATGATCCCTATTTTGTAGTCTTGCATAAAATTTAACATTACAAACGTGACATAGCGTTTCAAAATCAGGAATAATTAATGCATTCGACTCAAATGTACCTGCTGTTACATCAATCAACAAAATTTGCGCCAATCAGAGCTTGGTGGCCAGATTGCTAAATTGGCGGATTATTTATTGATCATTATACACTACCTACGTAGAATAATCACATCGAGTGATTATTCATAGTCATCGAATATATAACCAGAAATAGAGACGAAATGTCATTTAATTTGATTGAAAACTATTCTGCCAAATCATTATGAAGACAGCTGCACTCCGACTGGCCAGGGGGTCTACTCTCGATCTCCGTCCGACATCCGTCCGAAACAATTACTGATAAATAAGCAATACTTGACCAAATGAAAAGACGCGTGATGCGAATGAAGCTTCATTCTTGATTTTTATTTTTTTATTTTGTCGAATATTATATATTTGACTGTAATTGTTTCGGACGGATGTCGGACGGAAATCGAAAGTAGACCCCTAGCCCAAATTCAAAACAATTGACGAGTGTCGTCAATTGTTTCACTTCAAATCTTCCAGTTTACCTTGAGCTTTGCTATAATGGACGAAAATTGCAAAATTACATATTCAATATTTAATTACCGATGAAATGTGGTCCCGTTTGTTTTGTAATTAGATGTTTTGCTGTTTTCCCACACTACCGAACGGAACAGCCCACATTGTTAGAGATATTATCTTTATTACAATAAATACATAATATTTTTGGAATGTACGAGACGTATACACAGGTCAATTGTGGGTACTGTACTATTTCAGTTTTCTAATTTATGATTTCAGCGCACACGAGAGTTGACATTTAAGAGTGATATAAGGCCCATTTGCCTGATGAGTTGCCAGGGATGGATGGCCTTTATTTCGTCTCTATTTCTGGTTATATACTCGATTTTTATAGTAGATAACTACTGACCGGCTTGATCATGGAATTATATTGTTAACCGACTCCAAATCGAGGAGGTCTGAGGATTGTATTCTTTTTTTACTCCGTTACATTTGTGTACCAATTTCGATTATTCTAATGTAAAGAAAATATTAGGGTGGCAAATTAGGGGTTGAATCTGGTTTAATTGATTTCATCCACTTTCCGTTAACCGATTTCAACAAAACTTGCCAAATAGATGTAGTTACTACTTACAAACTTCTGAGGTCGGTCGGTTTTTATAAAAAAAAGTTGTGATTATAATTATTAATACAAATATCGAAAATTTCGAAAAAAAACTCATTCGATCCGGCTGGATTCGAACCAACGTCTTCAAGCAAACCGTGCCAGACGCTATGCCAATTAAGCCACGTTACGAACCTGCGGACCTTACGAATTTTTTGTGTGTTTGTTGCCGGTCTTTGTTTTTGCTCGTACATGTCGACAAATTAATTATAATAACTACCTTCGTTCCCGGTTTCAGCTGCTACCCCCTCCCACCCGTTCAAGGCGTCCGTGCATCACTTATGTGCTCGTTCGTCCTTGCTGTAAAACAAATTTCTTTTTTAACTCCTTTTCCTCTCGTGCTGCGCAGTTGTGGAATAGACTCCTTTCCCATATCCAGTCTGGCCCGTCAATCTGTTCTTTCGAGAAAAGGTTGAAAGCGTACTTTCTTGCTGAACTATCTTTGTAATCATTTTTTTACATACTTATTTATGTTTATATATATGTTGTGTACCTATGTGTATATATTTATGTGTATGTACGTATATTACATTTTATATACACATATAAGTAATTTATTGTACTTCTTTCTCACTCTGTCTTGCTCGCTATTGCCCGCTTATAACTTTAGCTCTCACTGCCCTGGGCTGTCTGGAAGAGATGTCTTTTAGAGATAAGTCCTGCTTTGCTCACCCTCTATTAATCTAATATTTCTGTTGTATTTATTTGTTGAGCATCCTTTGATAAAAAACGGTTTTTTTGCGCGTTAAGTATTCATTGGAAATGAAACTATTTTTCCGGATTTAAATCGCGTATATTTATATCGCGCATAATTTTTAATATATTTAACTTTTATTCTAATTTCTATTAAAAATTAATAATAAATTAAACTTAATAAAAATTCCTTCAATAAAATAATTTGTAAAATTTAATGTAGCGTAAATTGGAATGTTTCTTTGTAAAATTAAAAATAAGGTATTTAATTAATAACTATTGTAACTATAGTGAAAAAATAGGGTGGTTTGCATCAATATTAGACATAACTGGTTGAAGACTGTACCACCTCAGTCAACTGTGACCATGCCCGAAACGTCGGTTTCTTTGAAAAAACAAATATACGCGATTTAAATCCGGAAAAATAGATTCATTTCCTAAATTTAATAGATATTAGGCGAGCCCGTGAAAATAAATATGTATATCCAAAAGTAAATAATTACTAAGAATAGATAACAAGTCGACATTTCTTGCCTACTATTTAATAAATTAGATTTTTTCAGAGGCAGTTAAGTAAATTGACTTTGAAGAAAAAAAAATTATTTATACTCCTTTGAAAGCAAATAGTAAATTTATTAAATTCTATACTGATTTTGATAAATGTACTAGTACTAGATATACTATAGTTTTGTGATTGTAAGAAATTGTACTATGTTTTTTGTATAAAATAAATGAAAAAAAAATAACCATGTGAAGTGCCACTACGCCCTGC